AATGACACTATAAAAAGATGAGAATGATCTAAAAACATAAATATGATCTAAAGAGATGAGATTGATCTAAAGATATAAATATGTCCTAAAAGAGATAAGAATGACCTAAAGATATAAATATGCTCTGAAAGAGATGAGAATAACCTAAAGAGATAAATATGTTCTAAAAGAGACAAGAATTATTTTAAAAAGATAAATATGCTATAAAAGAGGAAATGCTCTAAAAAGATAGAGATCAATCTAAATATATAAACATGATCTAAAAATACCACCAAGCTTAAGAAGTGGCGACGTCTCGCCAAATAAATTCCCAAAATGATGACTATCGAAATACCCAAAGAACCACTGTAAGTAGCTACAGTGGGTAAAAATCAATGTCGTGATAAATAAACAATTAATTTTCTTTTTTTATATGACTAAATAAATCTTCTTGCTAAAAACAAAAAAGATCTGAGTCCAATTGTGCCTAAAGCAGCAATCAGACGGTCCAGGAGGAGGCACAGTCAAAATCTAGTCAAATTGGCCCAAAATGATAATCTAACCGTTCAATTTTAAATCCAAGGCAATCTAAGGATACCCTCAAAAAATCAAGCCAATCCAAGGACGGATGATCAAGATACTTTCTGGTGAAACTCAACCGTCCATTTCACAACATTAATCTACGGCCAATTTACAAAGCTTCCTCAAGAAATAAAAGATAAATGGCTTAAGAACTTTATGGAAATAAGGTATTAGTATAAAAATTTTATGGACCAAATTTGAGCTCAATTCAATATCGGACGAAGAGAAATAGCATCTCGAACTTCTTGAACCGCAGATAGGGTCCACCTAAATCGGTCCAACTTTACAAGAACCAAGAAATAAGTGGCCAATGAGCTTCAAATTTTTATGAGATGAAGCTCATGATGATAAAAACCCCTGATAAAAATTTAAGACAAATTAGATATCCAGAAGTGCCTTTTTTAGCACCACTTTTAATGCACTGCAAGGGGAACATGCAGAAAAGAGGAACGGACCATATTGTACCCGTGATTCATCATGTTCATGGGAATAGAATTTTTGGCAAAAAGACAGGGACCATATCTCCCAATTCCTACAACCCAATGAGCCCAAATTTCGGAAAGGCGTTCCTTGCAACATAAGCTTTTCATCCATATATTGATCGATGGATTCCTCCACTCGAATCAAAGTTGAATCGAGCCAAAATATTGGAGGTTTGCTACAAGTGGTGTGTAACAGTCCCCATGACCTCCACTCATTCTCGGAGCAATATCTCGCAATCCATATTGCATTTTCAAGCCAAAATTTTGTAAAAAGCTTTTTAACTCGGAGAAGAACACATCCATATATGGAAATCCACGATCAAACCCCAATTAAGGGGGCGGATCATAGTGAAAAGCTGCCTAAATTTATGAAACTGTAATTTCCAAAACTAGAAAGAAATAAGAGTCATATCTCTCCAATCAGGCATCAACTTGAGCAGAAATTTTCACCAAACATGGGTCACGGCATCCTCCATAAGATTCTACTGGTTGATATTCAAACAAAAGCTGAATTCGAGCGCAATGATTATGTATAAAAATGGGAATACAATTTTTACCCGAAATGGAAAACCAAAACTCAAAATTCGAAAAACTTGGGGAATCAATTACGGTTTCACTTAAATTTGTTGCCAGATCATGGTTGGATGCTCCAGAATTGTATGGAAGAAAATTGGGTTGAAATGGTAGAAAAAATGTCTGATTTGATGGGTTTTGGTGGTGGATGAAGAAAGAAGCCTTCTCAACGGCAAATCATGAAAAACTTCAGAGTTTAGATGCCTTCTTTGGTAATTTTCAGCCCTAACTCGAAATTATTTTTAGTAATCCATCACCCTTTGAGCCAAACTTATGATTTTCCACCCATTAATTTTTAGTTTTGCACCCATGTTTATAAAATTCTTTTTAAACTCCATTTTTAAGGCTTTGAAAATCAAAACCCGAACCTAGAGAGAGAAATCATAATCTTAGAGAGGGAAAATTTGAACTTCTCAAATTATCCATGTTTTCATCACATAGTCCCAAAACCCTCAACTTGCCAAAATACTCTTAAAAATTAAAAAATCTCAAAAAATTATCAAAAAACTCAAAAATCCTAAAAATATCTAGGATACCCTTAGAAAGATGACATTTGGGCGAGGCCAGGCTCAAGTCGGGCCCAAAACATTATATTTCAGGCCAGCCCAAAATATTTCGGATTTTTTTGAGCCCGGGCACGGCCCACTGGCCGCCCCACTTAGAGGTTAGAACCCCGAATCTCTAAAATGAAGGGGATGAAAACCTTAAGCCTCGTAGTACCCTATGAAAGATAGATACGCGTGTCCTGGGTTTGACCATGGTCGACACTTGACAGACACCGATTGTATTGATACTCTTGAACAGACATGACATTTTTTATTAAGCGTCTACTATTGTGTCTCTTTTTGTACACTTTTATTAAAGGAAAAAGCTTATACAAAGATGCAACCTTATAATATAGAACTACGGATGCCCCTCAAAAATCCATCGAAAAAGGTAATTTTAATGTTGAAAAATCGTTTGATTGATTATCTCAACATTGAGATGTGTGACTATAAAAAATAAAAGGATTTTAAGTTTCAGAAATAGGGCATTTTACAATATATTTATCTATACCGTCCCTTTTCAAGATTTTCATATGTTTATAGATCTACTTGATTTTAACCATTTTTAAAATTTAAAATTTTATAAGTAGATATAAAAATAAATTTTGAGATAATCCTAAGAACATTTTACATCAAAATTATATACCATGCTAAAATTTGAAGGTGCACCTTACCTCTACACCTACGGATGCATCTGTATGCCAACTACACCCTTTATTAAATGTCCACTATTGTCTCTTTTTATAGACACGTTTTTTTAACAGAAAATGTGATTTTTTTTAGAAACTTATTATTCAATGAAGAGTATTTTATTTTTAAAAGTAACAAGTATTTTAGAATAAAAATAGTTTAGAATACAAATTACAAAAAAATTATTTGTTCAATTAGGGTTGCCACAAGCCATTGTTACTATAAATACGTAATAAGATTTATTTCAACTACCATAAAAACGTTCTAGGGTTTCTCCGTCCCCAACTAATTTTTCCCTTTACAAGTCGTAGACCACTGGTTTTTCCCTCAGCAAGTATGTTGACCACTAGTTTCTCCCTCTCCACGCTGTGGATCACTAGATATTCATCTCTTCTCAACTTCTCTATATATTCTTATTTGGTCTTGTACAATATAAGATCTTTATTGTCCCATCTTTTTTATCATTAATAACATGAATTGTATTGTACCTTGTCTTGTGTTAACAATTGATTTTACTAGTTTTGGAAGCTTATATTTTACATGAATGCATTAAGACTCTTTTCGATATCTACACAATAAGGGTGCTATATTTTCAACAACTAATTAGTTAATACTTACCTACTTATTTTTTCATATTAGTAGACGATGCAATATGGAAAAAATATTAGATTCACAACATAACCTTTTTTTGCCTGTTAATTTAATTATTTTTATGTTTTAGACGCTTTACAATTTTTACATGGCATGAATTCTTCATTAAGAGCATGAATTGTATTGTACTTTGCCTAGTGTTAACAATTGATTTTTACTAGTTTTGAAAACATAGATTTTAGATGCCTTGTGTTAACAATTGATTTTTACTAGTTTTGAAAACATAGATTTTAGATGAATGCATTAAGACTCTTTTCAAGAGCTACACAATAAGGGTGCTACATTTTTAATTACTAATTATCTCATACTTTGTAGTTTTTTCCCATATTGCTACGATGCAACTTTGAATTAGTCTATAAAAAAAATTTTGATGAATGA